TTGCAGGATTTTTGTCATAATGATTCAGTTCATTCTTACAAAAAATACAAACATCTGACTTTTAAACAAACTATTAAAATGGAAAACTTATGACATAAATATTCATATTTCAAGAGGCACATTAATGATCAGTGACGTTCTAGGATTCTTGTTGTTGTTACTCAAACGTTTTTATTTATTTTTTATTTTAACATATTTATCTCTTATTGTGTGAATGAGGCGTTGAAAGAAGGTTAGTATTCCCCCACTTCAACTGGAAGGATTTCATTTCTTTTAAAACATTATGACTCTTGTCTTTTTATGCTTCCACTAATGAGTCCCTTCACGAAACGGTTCTTTCATGATGTTGTTCTGACGTCTGGGTTTGGGTTTATATTAGATGTCTGTTCGTTATTGGTGTCTTTTTCAACTTTCGCTTGGACGTTTTTGAAGGTTAAGTTTTAATGGGCAATAAACGTCACAGCTTTTCTGAACTGTTCATACTATGCTCAAGTGAGTTTACGCACAGTTCAGTTCAAAGTTCACAATTAAATTTATTATACAAAGTAAGAGAGAGAGAGAGAGAGAGGTCGCCGAGAGAGGAGACGAGACGAGAGCGATGAGAGGAGTGGAGAGGAGAGAGGAGAGGGAGACGAGGAGAGTGAGGAGAGTGAGAGCAGAGAGAGAGAGAGGAGAGAGAGAGAGTTCATGAACACGTTCTTTTGAACTCTGAAGTAATCTTTATTTTTTATAGCGCATTTTTACAGGCCAAGGTCACCCAGAGCATTGTTCAGAGTAAATTATTTTTTGACCCCGAACACCTGGCTTCAAGCCCCAACTAACCACCATCATTCGCTCGTCATCTACTTGTATACCAATTTTACAAGTTTCTCCTCGAAAGGGCCTTGTTCTGACCAAACCAAGGACCTTCTTGCTGAGAGCCACCACCATGGCCAAGAGACAAGACTGTCTAAGTAGTGGTACATACAAAAAAATAATTCAACTTTGATTTTTTTTGGCTACAAATATCGATGGGGAAAGCACCACTTGTCCATAAACCCTTACGGATCATGCGCCGTGTTATTACAGCCAGACGACTTCCCGTTGGTGTGGTTTTCTTTATTTCCCCGAGCTCTCCATCTTGGTAATATGTGCTCAGCCAGTCAGCTCCTCCAGCAGTTATTGCTTACTTAATCTCAACAAACTGCTATTTGTAGCATGCATCCAGTGTTTCTTATTTTCTCCAAGGGACTGATATACTGTTAAAGTTCAGGCTATGAACAAGGCTTGTCAAAATTCATGTCAGCTTATTTACTGGAACAGCCAATAAATAAAAATAATTAAATACAATAACCCCAGTCGCACCCTGCTTAAAAGTGTGGGTTTTGTTTTCATTCTATTACCGGTTTGTTAATGGTTACAGTAGGAGTGATGAGGTGTGTGGTAAAATATAATTGCATCTAGAACCCTTAAGATAGCAATACATTTATTTAACCTTAACCTAAATATATAGTTGAGCACCCGCAGGTGTGTGACCCTGCAGAGATGATGGTTACTTGTTCTCTTGTCCTTATTGTTCGTATTGTAGGGACTCCAGTCCAGTGCGACTAGTTGAAAAGAGTGTTTTGTTATGACTCATTAGCTGAGGTTGCCGTGTTCCTCAGGATGCAGGGATGGAAAAATATTATAGGTCAAGGATTAAAGTACTTCTTTGGGCTCAGTGCTAGACAATTGTTTTGGGTGGCGTGGTGGCGGCAGCAAGAAACAAGAAGGTCATGTGTTGATTCCACCTCCAGACAAAGCCTTTCTTTTGCTGATTTGTTGCTCTCGTCATTCCCTCTGTGTCTGGGGTGTAAAACTGGTTTACAGAAAGGGTGGTGTAGCTTCCATTCCAGTTTTTACTTCCAACCAAGTAGTAGCACACAGTTGTGTCCCAGTGTAACTTAGGAAATGGGCCTTATGGAAACCACTTTCGACAGCCTGTTGCGGGTTCCCTTTGTTCCCTGTACTACTAAAAATGAAAGGAATGATCAAGTTTTGTAGTAGTGAGTCTTTTAATAGTCGTTGTGGACAAGTGGGTTACTCTTTTTAAGCCGATTTACTTGCATACATTTTTTCCCCCTCATTTCCCAACTGATCCTGTTTTTTTTTTTTTTTAATTTTTTCACCACTGTTGCCTTTTTGTTTTTCTTCATTGTCCTTCCATCTGTAAAGAGGGCATGTCCTTGTTGGCCTTTTAGTGTCTGGAGTGGAGCTGGGCGAGCTAATAAGGATAATAAGTGGCCTACCTGCAAGGGAAAGTCAGTTCCCGTCCGACCGCTGAAGCCAGCAGGGCAGGGCCTGGTATAGTACTTTAATGGAGATTCTGGAGATCACCAGTTGCCCACAGTGGAGAGGCCACTGTGGGGCGGCTCAGTGCTAAACTGTCATTTCGGTTGGGTAGCCCCAGGGCAGTGTGGCTTGATGTTACTACTACTAAAATAACACATACACATAATACATTGTTCCGGCCTTTTTTAATCTTGGTGCCTTCCAAGGAGAAGTGATCTTGGAAGCAGAGAGTGCTCTGTCCAAAACCAGATCTACCCAGCTACAGGCGGAACACTCTTTTGCCTAGACTACCAAATCCAGCCCACTTATCAAACTTACATTATCAGTTTTATAATGAGAACTTTGGTATTAGTACATGAATTGTACAAGACAGGAAGGAAAACCACAGAGAATCAAAGAAACAGAAACATGGTCCACATCTGCAGCAAAACCCTCTCCGTCAGTCTTGCGGAGCCAACAGTGACTTACAATACATTTAACTTGAATATGATAACTTAAACAACATTCCAATGACACTATAGTAGTTAATTTTCAACCCCGTCTAGCGGTGAAGCTTATCATGGTGACACGCCCAAGGAAAGCGACACTGTGTGATATACAGAGGTGGGGACAAAGTCATTGTTTAGCCAAGTCACAAGGTCCTGTCTCTATTCATTGCCCTCAAGTCCGGTCAAGTACGAGTTAAGACAGGCAAGTCCCGTGTCGGAGTCCAAGGTCAAAGGGCCAACAAATCTCAAAGTCAGTCCCAAGCCTACGGGTTTGGACTTTCGAGTCCTCTGAGTCTTTTTGACCGCGATTAGTTTTTGTTGGTCTCACGTTACTTTTGTAGGCAAACAAAAATAATGTTAGGAATCATTTTGCTGGTGCATTCTCGTTGGTCCTCTGACCCATGGACTAACGTTTGTTCCATGTCGTTTTGTCTCTGCTGGTAAATCAAATATCTTTGTGTATCTATTGGTGGTTGGCCAGATGCAGGCTCCAGTTACACAATGCACGGACCACACATAAAATCAGTAGCAGTCCCGTGTCAAACATTACTTTTTTTCTTTGGGTTTTTAATGGGAAGTAGCAAGTGCAGCATCTATGAATAGTATGCTCTATATTATAATCAATTATCTCAGTATTGGGCTGGGACCCTGTAATCTATTCTAATCAGTTTAATGTCGTAGTGGTTATTGTTCCAAAATGTCTACTGTCCGGATAGTGTAGTCTTGAGGGTCGGAAGGGACCAATGGAGGGGAAGGAACCTGGCCTGTATGAAACTGGACACGCTTTAGTAATATCTTCATATTGACCAATAATATATCATTACATAATAAAAATGTCTCATATAAATTAATTCAATCAGTCAACGCCCTGATTATCATTATCAATGCAACCATGGCGGACCCTAAGATGCTGACTGAATCTACGAGTTCATGCTGATCAGGCTCAAACTCATATTGGCATAAAACTACTAAAAGTAGTAATCATATACGGTAAGGAAACACTCACGTTGAGCAACAACTTTCCTTGTTTTCGAGAGGTTAAGCCAGACCAATGCCGGGAGGAGGCTTGATAATAACGTAAGGAACATCTGGGATGCAATCCCACGAGCACCCAGGAATTAGAGTATACTCGATGCCAAAGTTTCCCCCCCAATACATCAAGCCTTGATCACTATACAAACATCATGTCCACAATTTGATACTGCCTCCCATCACAACCTACATCACATTCAGGAATCCCTTCAAATGGGGGGGGGAAACTTTTGGACATATACAAAATTGGCTTATTTCAAAACAGATTTATTATTAACCAGTAAAAGTCATACAGTTGTTGTTCAGGAAACCCATGAGCCAAACGTCAAAAACTCCTCAATACAATTTTGGAGAAATCTACTTGCAAAACCCTGAAGCTGCTTCCAAATATCTCGGGCTATGGCTTGCCCAAGAACTCTCATTCAACCACACTTAGATCTATACTACTAAAACTTATGCTCTCTTGCCAACTTCAAAGGTCAAGTTAGTTGTTTCTTTCCCTTCCCCTTTTCTTCTTTTTCTTTTCACAATCGCATCAGAAAATAGATAGTCCAGAACTTGTGCTGCCAATAATTGACTACGGTGACATGTCTATCAACATATACTGATGCTGTTCTTAAGCCTTGACCACTCTTACAAACCTCACTTGCAGATTCTTCTCGATGCAATTATTTCCTTCACATTGCACCTCACTATTTTCTTATTGAGTAGGTACAACCCAGTGCAAGAAGACAGTTTCATTGGTTTATCTTCTTGTATCAATGTATTTTACTGATGTACCTGATTACCTAAAACAACATATGGTTCCCATTATAACCTCACACTCTTTAAGAAATCTTGAATTCTCCCGTATTTCAGAATCCCCCATTGTACGTAGGAGGTGGGAAAGAGGCTTTTCGATTTAAAGCGGCTCATGACTGGAATAATTCTGCCCATGGAACTGCCGATCACTATCCTCCCCTGCCACAATTTTAAAGCAGTCTGTATTTAACAAGACTTAACCGTATCTGTGTGCCTGTTTTTAACATATTATATGCAATGTGTTCTTATACTGATGTTGAAATACAACTAGATTATAATCAACGGTTGGGGCTCTCAGTCTACAGCCAATTATAATCACTGTTAATATGACTCTGAAACCCTTGGATGTGTCAGCTGTTGGGGGGTGTGATGGGTGGGCTCGGAAGTGCGGTGCTGATATGAATGTGAATGTTATTTGTTTGGCATTTTGTTCACTTATTTTTCTTTATAGGTTTTTTTGTAAATCCATAAAATGTTTGTTTTCTGTTGTACAGGCCCCCTTGAAAAGGAGAATGGTACATCTCAAGGGGTTATCCCTTAGAATTAAATAAATCAATTAAAGTAAACTATAGTGCAAATATTATATCTTGCTTAGTGCACAAATCAAACACACTAATCTAATGTATGCAAACTTTAGCAGGAGGAGACAGCAAAAACATATCATAATAATAGGCCTCGGCGCCACACAGAAAAATATAAGAAGAGCAAACAGAGCAGCGCTGGCTAGCGCTTGTTTGACTCCCCAGTTCCCTCTTTAAAAATGGCACAACAGTGTGCAACTGCGTCGAGTCATTGTATGGGGCCTGTAGTGAAAGCCTGCTAATTACGGTTTGTAGAACAATATATGAGTTAGGTCGCGATATATACCTGCAGCTCTATCATTTCCAGCTCCCCTTCGACAACACACCCACCAGTGAAATGGAGTCCGCTTGTTTAGGGAAGTGTTGCTGCCGCGAATGCGGGGAACTCCCACGTTCGATACTCTCGCGCGAGCGCTACAACTACCGCGACTACAACTACAACTACAACGCACCAGCAACACTACAACTACAGCACCAGCAACAACACAACTACAACTACAACTACAGCACCAGCACAGCACAGCAACTACAACTACTGCACCAGCAACAACTACAACTACAGCACCAGCAACGACTACAACTACAGCACCAGCAACAACTACAACTACTGCACTGCAACACCAGCAACAACTACAACTACAGCAACAGCACAACTACAACCACAACAACTACAACTACAGCACCAGCAACAACTACAACTACAGCACCAGCAACGACTACAACTACAGCACCAGCAACGACTACAACTACAGCACCAGCAACAACTACAACTACTGCACCAGCAACGACTACAACTACTGCACCAGAGCAACGACTACAACTACTGCACCAGCAACGACTACAACTACTGCACCAGCAACAACTACAACTACTGCACCAGCAACGACTACAACTACAGTACCAGCAACGACTACAACTACAGCACCAGCAACGACTACAACTACTGCACCAGCAACGACTACAACTACAGCACCAGCAACGACTACAACTACAGCACCAGCAACGACTACAACTACAGCACCAGCAACGACTACAACTACAGCACCAGCAACGACTACAACTACTGCACCAGCAACGACTACAACTACAGCACCAGCAACAACTACAACTACAGGACCAGCAACAACTACAACTACAGCACCAGCAACGACTACAACTACTGCACCAGCAACAACTACAACTACAGCACCAGCAACAACTGCAACTACAGCACCAGCAACAACTACAACTACTGCACCAGCAACAACTACAACTACAGCACCAGCAACAACTACAACTACTGCACCAGCAACAACTACAACTACAGCACCAGCAACAACTACAACTACAGCACCAGCAACAACTACAACTACTGCACCAGCAACGACTACAACTACAGCACCAGCAACAACTACAACTACAGCACCAGCAACAACTACAACTACTGCACCAGCAACAACTACAACTACAGCACCAGCAACAACTACAACTACTGCACCAGCAACGACTACAACTACAGCACCAGCAACAACTACAACTACTGCACCAGCAACAACTACAACTACTGCACCAGCAACAACTACAACTACAGCACCAGCAACGACTACAACTACTGCACCAGCAACAACTACAACTACAGCACCAGCAACAACTACAACTACAGCACCAGCAACGACTACAACTACAGCACCAGCAACAACTACAACTACAGCACCAGCAACGACTACAACTACAGCACCAGCAACAACTACAACTACTGCACCAGCAACGACTACAACTACTGCACTAGCAACAACTACAACTACAGCACCAGCAACGACTACAACTACTGCACCACCTACGACTACAAAAACTACAACACAAGCAACAACTACAACTACAACTACTGCAGCCTCCTCTGCTGTGTCTGATGTGAGAATGACTTTGCTCCATTCTCTCCTGGGACTCCTCCTGATTCTTCTGTTGTAACTGAAGTACATAATATGTATTTATGAATCTACTAGACTATTTATATTAGTATGAGTCAAAAGTATTTGTTATGTATTTTTTGAACATAATGTTCACCTGAAACAATGTCACTTTGAGATTTTTTATTTTTTTAACCTTACTTTGGTTGTTAAACTTGAATGAAGCTCCAGAGGTAACCCTGAGACTAATATGAATTCTGTTTAAGTATGTATTTATTATGCTGTAATATTTATATTTATATACAATTGTGAAATCATTGTCCTAATAAATACAAGTTGATTTTAATCTTGGTTTTACAGCTGGATTTCTCAATGGCACTGCACCACACATATATGACTATAGGCTGAAACAACTGTACACACTGAAACAACTGTTCATTTACAGCCACTTTTCACCAAATACTGTTTTTGTATTAAACAGTTAACTACTGTAGTGAGCAATGCATCGTGGGATACCTCACTTAAACTGTATGCTGATGTTTTAAATGACATTAAGATAATACACGATACATTTTATTGATCTCAAATTGAGAAATGTACATGCCACATTTGGCATGGATAGAAATAGAACGACCCAGGTTTAGCAAAAGGACAGGAAGTATGCAAACATGTTAAAAGATTAATATCATAGTGTATTTTGTGCATCAGGTACAGTAAAAAAAAGTAAAAGTGACTATAGCAGTGCCAGTTTTTTTCGGTCCTAGGGCAGGTCATTAAAGTGACTTATTGATTAAGATTAAGAGATCCTTTATTTGTCCCACAGTGGGGAAATTTCGGTGTTGCATCACAAGTTATAGAAAAGTAGGAAAGAGGAGCACACGGCACACGTTAAGTGAACAATAGCTATACTAATTAAATTATAGCCTGGCCTTAGCCATCCGTACACTCCGCTCAATCATCATTTCACTGCATGTAACGTCTGGGCGATTATAATCGGTTGAATTTCTACAACCATTCAGAGAGCGCGGAAGGCAGGTGTTGTAGTTAGTTGTGAGTGATGGCTAAATGCTAACAACAGACTCGGGCGCACTACATACGTCACGGTAAACTCAGATCCAATCGTTTCAATCTGCTAAAGGAGTTCCATCGCTGAGGTCAGAGTGGAGCGGAGATGTTCCAGGACCAGTCTCTCCAGTGTCTTCAAGCAGTGGGATGTTAGAGCCACCGGCCTGAAGTCGCTGAGATCTTTGGGCCGTGGTTTCTTGGGCACTGGTACCACACAGGAGGTCTTCCAGAGCTGTGGTACCGACCTCAGCCTGAGGCTCAGGTTGAAGACGCGCTCCATCACTCCGCAGAGTTCATCTGCACAGAAGCGAAGGAGCCTGGAGCTGATGTTATCTGGTCCACAGGCCTTCCCTGGCTTGATTTTAAGCAGCTCCATTCTGACCTGTGCAGCAGTGAATGACAGGGGTGGGGTTGGGGGCTGCGGGCTGGTGGTCGGAGAGCTGAGAGGCACGGGCCATGGTGTTAACGACCTCGTCTGGGGGGCATTGTTCTCCAGCAGGGGTGGGCAGCAGCAGAGCAGGGGGTGGGTTGGGTTGTTGATTGAACCGCAGGTAAAACGTTTTCAAGTCGTTAACCCATTGTCTGTCCCCCACCTGCGGTTTTGGTTTAAATCCTGCGATGGCTTTTAGATTGTCCCAAACACCTTTCACGTTCTGTCTGCTTAGCTGCTCTTCCATTTTGCCCCAGTATCAGGCTTTGGCCTCCCTCACTGATGTATCTGTATGACTCTCAGCTCCTCTTTGTTCCCAGATCGAAAAGCGCGCTTCTTTGCCTTCAGCAGAGCCTTGTTGTTGGCAGAACACCACATTTTCCTGGTCACTGAAGTGTTCTCAATGCAGAAGTTTATATATCCTGTGATGCAGTCCGTCATGCCATTAATGTCCTGCCCATGGGGGTCGCAGAGCTCGTCCCAGACGGTCCTTTCAAAACAATCTTGGAGGGCCTCAACAGTGTCTGTATTCCATGTACGTATCAAGCGCCTCACCACGGGCTGCCTGTGCACCAGTGGTTTGTACACAGGCCGGAGGGGCAGAATAGTATGATCAGTTCTGCCAAGCGGGGGGAGGGCCTCCGATGTGCATGCGTCCTTTGCATTGCTGAAGAAAAGATCCAATATTTTGTCTCCTCTAGTGGGACAGGACACATATTGTGTGAACAGTGGCAGTGTAGAGGCATGGTTGTGCGTGGTTGAAGTCCCCAGTAATTATAAATAAGGCCTGCGGGTGCTGCGTCTGCAGGTCACTGACAGTAGAGAGCAGAGCATTGCCTGCACTGTCTGCTTTTGCAGATGGAGGGACATAGACAGCTATGAGAATAATGTGCCCAAACTCCCGCAGCAGAGAGTATGGGCGCACACCAATGGCAAGAAGTTCAATGTCTTTCTCACACACCTGCCGTTTTACAGTGCAGTGCTCCGCATTGCCGAGCTGTTGTTTACAAGCACGGCCAGCCCTCCGCCTCTCGTCTCTTCACTGTCCACGGTGCGGTCTGCTCTGATGGTGTGGAATCCATCCTGAGCAACTGCAGAGTCCGAAATGTCTGTGTGTAGCCATGTTTCTGTAAATTCATGGAAGCTGGCGTCGCAGTACTCCCGCTGGTAGCGCGTCAGAGCCGCTAGCTCATCTGTCTTATTGGACAGAGACCTCACATTCCCGGTGATCACGGCAGGCACCGCGGGTCTGGATCTCTTTCTCCCTCGTACCTTCCATCCACCGCGGCAACCCCTGGGTGTCTTCTGTAGGATTTCCGCAGTAATAGTGTGTTTGTCCCCCGGAGAGCTCTCCGCTCTCCACAGCACCAGCAGCTGGTCCCGGGTGTAAACAAAGGGAGCGCACCGGCACATCTCCGTTCACAGGTACAAAATCCACGTTTATGATGAGGTGGAAAAACACGGCGTGTCTCACTTCCTAAGTGGGCACTAGCTTCACACGGCTGTATTATAAAAGCAGTTACAGAAAAAGTAAAAAATAAGTGGCTAAAAAGTAGAAAAGAGAGAAGAAAAAGGGAGAGCGATGCAACTTGCAGCCGGCTGCCACCCGTGCATGCATACAGTCTGACAGCGGTGAGGATGAAGTAAGTAAGTAATCTTTATTTTTATGCCGCCTTTCGCAGTCCCTGCGGTAGCTCTCCTTCTTGCACTGAGGCCTCAGTCTTCCACTGAGAGAGCTCCTCAGCTCCTCTACAGTCCTGTGCAGTGGGAGGTGTTGCCCATGATGGAGGTGACTTTGACTAGCACCTCCTCCACAGAGTCCAGGGGCCTCCTGTCCCTCATCTCCTCCACAGAGTCCAGGGGCCTCCTGTCCCTCATCTCCTCCACAGAGTCCAGGGGCCTCCTGTCCCTCACCTCCTCCACAGAGTCCAGGGGCCTCCTGTCCCTCACCTCCTCCACAGAGTCCAGGGAGCAGCCCAGAGTGGAGCTGGCCCTCCTGACCAGCTTGTTCAGTCTACTCCTGTCCCGCTCCGTGCTGCCCGGGGCCCAGCACACGCCAGCGTAATGGACAGCAGAGGCTTCCACAGAGTCATAAAAAGTCCTGGGCAGAAGCCTGCTCACTCCGAAGGACCTCTGCCTCCTCAGAAGGACCTCAGCTCCTCAGAAGGTGGAGACGACTTTGGCCCTTCTTGTGCAGGGCGTTGGTGTTATGGGACAAGTCCAGTTTATTGTTAATCTGGGGCCTCTCCTGTTTAATATTTACATGCTGCCTCTGGGTAGGTTAATACACAGTAATAACGTGTCCTATCACAATTATGCTGACGATACTCAGGTCTATGTGTCCCTGACTGCAGGAGAACATGGACCAGTGGACTCGCTCCTTCACTGTATCCAACAGATCAGTGAGTGGATGCAAAACAACTTTCTCCAGCTAAACACAGAAAAAAACTGAAATTATTGTTTTCGGACCCCAGAAACAAAGAGAGAGCGTTATCTGCCACCTCCAGTCTCTCTCCCTAAAACCCTCAACTCAGGTCAGAAATCTAGGAGTAATAATGGACTCAGACTTAAATTTCAATAGCCACATATCATCTGTGACATCCATCCATCCATCCATTTTCTTCCCTTTAATCCATTTCTGGGTCAGGGGGGTGACAGTCAGAGATGCCACCCAAGTCTCATAGCACCAGCCCCTCACTGACCCTCTGCAGGTGGTGAGTCCACAGGGGGACGGCTGCTCTTTGAGTGTGAGCATAGCCTTGATCTTTCAGTGGGGGCTTTTGGGCAAAGTGGGGTTAAGTGTCTTGCCCAAGGACACAACGACAGCAGTCATCAGTGGGAGTCGATGGAGAAGGTGACATCTGTGACATCATCAGCTTATTTCCACCTAAGAAACATTGCTAAAATTAAAAACATAGTGTCTAAAGCAGACTTGGAGATTCTTATCCACGCATTTCAATCTGGAGAGACGAGGAGACAAAATGCATTTGAAGTATTTTATTGAAGGTAGTTTGGCGCCCTAGGCCCCGGTGCGGCGTTCAGTCAGCGAGGCTCCTGCGAGAGTGCGCGCACAATCCCCCGGGACCTAGGCACTGGTGGCAGCATTCGGGCAGCAGGAAGAGGCATGATTGAGGCAGGGTGAGAAAGGAGGAGGAGGGGAGGCGGTGGTTTGCAAGGCTTCGAGAAGGCCGTAAAGTGGGAGTTTCTCCGCTTTTAAGCGGCTGGCCTGGCCGGCGTAGGTTGGTTGGAAATGGGCGTTTGCTGTGCGATAGGCTGGGGCTGCGAGGCCGGCCTGGAAGGGGTGGCTTTGGCTGACGTCTTCCAAATTGAATTTCCGCGAGGCTGCATTTGTCTCCAGTCGATTGGACTACTGCAATGGTTTGTTCACAGGTCTCTCTAAACAAGCGGTAAAACAGCTGCAGTACATCCAAAATGCTGCAGCTCGAGTCCTGACTAGAACCAGGAAGTACGACACATTAGTCCGGTCCTCAGGTCTCTGCACTGGCTT